CTTTATCAAAGTTACAACTACATCACACACAATGCAGAAGATTCTGAGCAAAACAACTAGAAAATATTGGAATTTAATAGACAAAGTAGAAAACTATGCAAATGGAAAGATGAAGTAGAATGTTTGTGACAATATTTGCACGCCAAGAACGAGTTACGTTAATCGTTTAAAAAGACACATGAAAGAGTAACAAATTTGATGTTTTTTTATGGGCTTCTCATCCTGGATGAGAAAGAGCCTAACTCACGTACACGAAAAAGAGACAGAGAGATACAGACATGAGAAAGAAAGAAACGAAATTTGAGTTCAGGAACAAGAGTGCTGTCTTGAAAATGTCTTCTCTTCGCTTCCATAGCCGATTATTATAAACATAAAAATAAGAGAAAACAGAGTAAAGCACCTAGAATGCTTTATGCAGAAGGAAAAAATCCCATGAGTATGGACCTGAATATAAAAATAAATTGAAGAAAGACTGACTTTGATAAAGTAGAGTGAATTGCATATCTCATACGTGCTTTCATTGTTATCAGAAACATGATAGACAATGATGAAGCATGGGATGAGGCATTTCTTTACTTAATAATATCCTTTATTAACTTTTGATCAAGTGAACATACTTTGCTTATCATTCTTTCTTTTACAAATAAATGTCTTTGTTTTAAATCTACATTTTATTCCTATAATTGATAAAATTTGTCTTTTTGACGTGTTATATGAGACATCAATATGCATTCTTATCATAGTAGGAAATATAATGACTTTGAATATATATTCAAAACTAAACCGTGAAATTGTTAAACCTCAAACGCTTCTTGTGGGTTCATCTGAACCCATAACGCCGTTTTTTGTTTCCTGTTATCATAATACTTATCCTTTTCCGCCCAATCTCTTTTCTAATCGGTAGTCTTCTAACATTATATAACGCCTATTAACATTTGTGAATAACTATTACAGGAGAAAAATCCAAGAGTGGATTCACATGAAATAGTTCAATCGTGATCTTGATTTTGTTGTATTTTATTCGTTGTAGAATATAAAAAATAAACGAAAAAGAGATTTCTCTCGTTTTCTAACATGAGTGGATTGATATATCGATACATGTGAGAACATTTTCTCGCTTATGGTGTAGTCGGATTTCTAGTTCTAGTTTCTTCCATAATATTTCAATATCGTACGGTTATCATAGTCTCTTAGAGAAAATACTTTTTAAAATGCCAATTTTTTTCATACGTCAGGAGCCATAATAACTTTGCCGTACCTGAAAAGATCATGATGAAGATCTTCGATTCTTTTATGTCTAACTTATATCAAGCAAAAAATCAAATGCTTCCTATTCATTTATCTATGGATCCGATCGTACTCACAAAACATCTTTTGTTTGACGAAGTGAGAATGGTACTTAAGGATTAAGAACGCAAGTATTTCGCGCACTTGTATTACTCCAAGAAAGGCAAAAAATAAAAAGTATATGCATTAAAACCGTCTAACCTATGATTTCCCATCGTTAATAAACCATTTTTCTGTTTATGAATTAATACACTAAAAAATGACGATTGGATAGATGCTATTCCTTATTTCAAAAAAAGTAAGGCGAAATTAAAACATTCAAAAGACGTAAAAATGAAGTTTAATCTCTAAAACACTCATAAACCTTCCTATGTCATCTTTAACGCGCCGAATTTTCTGATTTAAGAAGGTAAATAAATTTTACAGAAAAGATTATGGAAAAATACATGATATTTAGACTTTCTAAGGGTTTACACGCATGTGAAAAGAATTGAGTATTGAAATGTTAAAAAATCAATATTTCGAATGTTCGCCAGTTCATCGGTACTGGGTCAGAAAATTTTAACTGAATTCACAGTCAAAAGTTCAAGTTTCTCCGCGTTTACACAAGTACTCTTTTCTACACGCGTTTAAACGTATTAAAAAAGTATTTTCAAGGGTTTCAATGCGTTTTCGTAAAATTTTGTCTGCTTGCGGAATCGTGTAGCCAACTTAAGTGGGATAAAATAATGGACATAAAAACTTCAATTGGTCATAGTCGCACAGGTGTACGGAAAATTCAACTTGCTATTGTTTACAATGATGATGATGATTGTTAATCCAAGAGAGTCTATCATAATGTTACAAAATACCTATGATTATATTTTTCAGATAATCATCTAGTATTGTAGATCGAAACATTTTCTATGGAACAGAGTTGAAATATTATTTTTACTTATTCTTAATCTACTACTCAGAAGTGACAAAATGTGCATCATTCTTTCT